CTTCAGGTGTACGGAGGGACGATTGAGGGATGGACGCACTGCAAGACCCTGCTGTTGTCTGATAGCCTGGTATTCAGACCATACTAATAATAATAATTTTTTATTAAAAACCCGTCGAGGTCCCATCAAAGCAAGTAAAAATAAATTTACATGCGAATTTTAGACGAGGTAGGCAGAATCTTTACAAAATGCAATTCATAATTTTTGAATTCGTAGTCCACTGAGAAAAATGACTAGCGAGGGGTGAAAAAAACTCCGTACAAATTTTATAAAAGGGTGAAATAATTTTACATGTCCTTCCTAGATCGGACTACTTGTCCTGAAAGATAGTCCTATTTTTTCCAAGATGGTTATGAAGAACGATATGAATGACTTTACCTGATATATAACATTTTCTATTGCATATGCAGGCACCAATGTTTTAGTAGCTGATGCACGTTTTCGATCGTCGGCAGCCTAAATTGACAATGTGATGAAGCCTAATTACTCATAATGGGTCGCATCGGTGAGTAAGGGCATACTTCCATTTCTTGGCCTTAAGATCGTTGTAGCTAATGGTTCTTACCGCATTAGAGGCGGAGGTACTGACCAGGAGCTTAACCGCCTGTATGGCTACCTTCGTATATCGACTGAGTCTTCATCCTCATCGGAGTCAGACGTCAATCTTCGCAGTTATCTATAAAAAGATAATTAACGTATAGGCAATGTACTTGGTCCTCATGGCTCTTCCTAAAGGCGCAGGCTCTGTGAACAACAGGTCATCGATAAGTTAGGACTTTTGAGCTAACGTCCGCGCCTTATCAAGATTTAAGCCTTCCATCAGGACTGTCACTTCGTATCTTTTTGCGCCGTCGGGGGCTTTTGGGCAGCCTCTAGAAGAGCCTACCTATTAAGCTCCTCGGGTTGCAGTACGCAATTTTCTTTTCAAAACCAGGCTTTAGCAACAGCGGTCACTGTGTTTTCAGAAAAAAACTCTACTACAGCGTACATCTGCAGGGATAAAGTGATTACAGAAAATGGGGGTACAAAAACAGTCACTGAACAATAAGGATATATAAGAGGCTGATTAAATAAAATTGGTCGTCAATATTAAAAGAAACCTATTTACATGTAATGTCACTTTGAGACGCAGTATGAGTACTGTTTGCTAAAGTGGAAGCTTT